ACAAAATAAGCGTTAAAAAACAAAAACAGCCACGACGACAAGAGCAATTCTCACCCTTAGCCGTGTCGAGTTGCAAAAAGTTCTCAATTTCTGTCTGAAATTCAGCACGCGCATAAAACAGAAGTTTTGAAATTGAACCTACTAGTAGGTTTTCATCACCATAGTGTCATCAAATGATGCGTCTTGGACTTCATCTAACAAAACATGCTTATCAAAACGTACACCACTGAGTGAATGCAAAACAGGTATCTTTCCATAATGCACATTGTAAAAAATATCCTTTCTTCGATCCTTCCAGTTGTAATCATAAGCGAAGGGAACCTTTGTGTTTTGCTGTTTTCTGTACACCGAAACCTTTCATTCGTCAATGTCTGGCTAACTGCAGTTTGATCGCCGTGTGCAAATTTGTCGCAGGGGCCTATACTGGGTCGTCAGCGATGCTTTCAGAAGCCATTCACTCGGTCGTTGACTCTGGAAATCAACTCTTATTGTTGTATGGGATTAAAAAAGCCAATCAAGAGGCAGATGATCAACATCCCTTTGGCTATGGTATGGAGCTTTATTTCTGGACTTTTGTTATCGCTATTCTGATTTTTGCGATTGGTGCTGGGCTTTCCCTCTATAAAGGGTTTCTGCATATTCAACATCCCTCACCCATGAACAGCCCTTATGTGAACTATATCGTTTTAGTTGTGAGCATGGTTTTTGAAGCAATTGCTTGTACCATTGCCTATCGTGAGTTCAATAAAGTTAGAGAAAGCACAAGTTTTTTCAAAGCGATACGTCATTCGAAAGATCCAACTATTTTTACAGTGCTTTTCGAAGATACTGCTGCAATGATTGGTCTTATCATCGCCTTTTTAGGTGTGGCTGGGAGTCATATTTTAGGTTGGCATATCTTAGATGGTGTTGCCTCAATCAGTATCGGCATAGTCCTTGCCTTAGTCGCGATTTTTCTAGCCATTGAATGCAAAGGACTATTAATCGGAGAAGCTGCCGATCCACTAATCGTCAATGAGATCCGGGATTACCTCCAAAATGACACTCGCATCAAAAGAACCAATGAGCTATTAACGATGCATTTTAGCCCGAACGAAATCTTATTGAATGCAAGCCTAGATTTTAAAGACGGCCTTTCTGCGGAAGTTGTAGAAGCAGCAATTTCAGAATTTGAAGGGAGTATAAAATCCAAATTTCCGTCGATCAGACGAGTTTTTATTGAGGCACAAAGTTGGAAAGGACATCAAGAAAACGCTTTGACAGAGGGAAATACTGAGTCATAACTTTACTTTTTTTGACCTTTAAAACTTATTATCGTGCCTATCTAGAAAAAACTTGAAAAAGAGGAGCCATTTTCCTCTAATTAAATAGCTAGGATCTAAGGGGCTTAATTTTCAGCGATGTTTTCTTTTTTATTAATCTTAATTTTAGGCGTGTTGATCTATAACTTATCGAACCGTATACGACGCATTGAAAACCTATTACAATCAAAAGAACTAGGGGAAGGCTATACGCAAGCCACGGCTTCTGCTCCAAAACCATGGAGGGAAGGAGACACTTCTCCCCCTCCACAGGAAGAAAAAGCTCTTCCCTCACTTTCCTCCCCTCCTTCTATACCACCAGAACGTCAACCAGCGATCTTTTCTAAATGGCGTTGGTCTTTTTGGGTTGGTGCTCTTGCTTTAGGGGTTGGAGGAATTTTTTTAGGCATCCATGTCTATACTTGCAGGCTTTTATCTAAAAACCAAATCAAAGAGTTACCATCAACTTTATTTGTCAACCTAACCAAGCTTGAGACAATGTGAGTAGTAATGTATACTTTGAATTAATTGTCTGTCGATTAATTGATTTATCAACCAGGGAAATAAAACAGTAAGAGGACATTTTAAAAGGCCGTAAATGTTAAAGTGTTGGAAATAATTGTTTGGTTAGACTTTGTTTAAATCTCTTACGAATTCGACAGTTAATGAGCTATGTGAGGTCTACGATGGATCAATTTAATACATTTTTTTGTCAAGATGAAAGGAGGACTGCTCTCGTTTTGCTTTCATCCCCCTTATGATTAATCTAAAATGTACGTCGTCCTCTCAACCGGATTCAAAGCTAAAACCAAGCGCGGCTTGGTCACCTTCATTATCCCGCGCTTGAAGCCGTGTGCTCGTTTGTATTCACTTTTAGCATTGACTGGCTTCGTCATTTTTTTAATTCCTAACTGGTTATTGCAATTACTTTGGCTTGGGGTAGAGGAATCTTAACCATAAGGCACGCTAACTACGTTTGCTTCGAATTCAAATATTAAATCTAGAAAAAAGCTGGCCACTAACAAGTTTCTGCTTTACAATTTAACAGAAAAATAGAGAGAAATAGATTAGAGTCGCTCCATCATAAACAATTTCGCGGACTGGCAAAGCTGCATGACCTGTAAGTAGTTTATGTATATCTGAGTATTTTTCCGCATCTAGCTTCCAGGTTTGAAATATAAAATTCATGTAAGGACTTTTCAGTTACAACTTGCATTTATTTCAGCTGCCCTGGGAATTAGTTATAAAGTTCATACAATGACGATGCTCCACAAGGAAAGTCCAAAAACTAAAAAAAGAAAAACAAGAAGAAAAAAAAACATGTCATTACTTTTAAAATATTTTTCCAGCTTACATCAAGTTCTTCGATTCCTGAAGTTCGTCACTTATTCATTTTTCTTCATTCTTTTACAAGTTATTTGTCGGGAAACAAACTCCAACATTTGCCAAAAGGAATTTTCAAAGGCCTAAATAATCTTTTGATTATGTAAGTAGAATACGAAATTCATTTGGTGTATCAATGGTGTCGCAGTATCTTCTATTAATCGCACTTGTCGATCAGTTTGAGGCACACATCTATGGACAAAAACCATCATGATATCATTGCGGTTTAACCAATTGTTATCATTCTATCTTTTTTTTCGTAAGAGAAATCTTTGACAACAGATTGAAAAACGTCTCCATCGATAGCTTCAAAGAAATCAAGCAGTTGAAAATTCTGTAAGTGTTTACTTTTTATTAAGAATGAAAAGGAAATCCAGCTTTGGAAGGTTCTTGAATACTTTAAAGGTTCAATCAGAATTTAAATAAAGCACAAATCGAATGCTAAAGTTATGT